GAGGTCTTTTCCAGCCCTGATCAGGCCACGGGGGGACTGCGGAAGCATTCCCCGGCCTCAAATCAAGGCAGCAGTGGCCTGGAAAAGCCTCTGGAGCCTGGATCGGGCCATGCAGGGTGCGCAGAAGCATTCCTTTGCCTCAAATCCAGCAGCCTGGAAAAGGCCTCTGGAGCCCAGATCAGACCGTGGAGGGGGGGTCGCCTCAAATCCAGATGGCAGCAGGAACCGCAGCAAAGAGGAGATGGATATTTTTCATGTGAGTCCAGTGCAGCAGGAAGGGAGGGGGAAGCATGTGATATCTTAGTGGGTTGGGGAGGCCTTGGAGGCCTGTTCCAGCACGAAGCCCTCCATGACCTTCCCCACCCTGAGATATCTCATGTTTGCTTAATGAGCCGCATGCGTTTTAACAAGCAAGGGAGTGATCTCATTCCTTGAACAAGATTCACTCTACGAGTTTTCGAATTATGAGTGAAATGGGCAGCCTCCATTACACTCATAACTCAACGACTACCTGTAAATTGTTTATTTATTTTGAAAATTGAAAGATGGACTGGTGCTGACATCTACTGGTGGATGGAAATACTACCCTAAATATACAGCTCAGAAAAAAAAACTTGTTATTCAAAGCTTTAATTAAACAAAGAACAGCTGTAATAAAAGAAAAGATTGTGGACTAGCTTTGTAAAATTTAGAAAAAAATTGACCTTCCTGGACTATAAATATTTTTTAAACTATAACTTTAAAGCAGTTGGCAGAGAAAGGATTTTTGGTCATTATGGAGCATCAGAGGCGTGCAGAAAAAATATATCAAGAAAAAATAAATACTTTCCAGGAAGAAATTTATGTTATGTTACAACAAATACAAATGAATTAATTTTGAACCATGAGGAAATTAAGAATGAATTTCAAAATTTAAATGAATGCATTCTCAATTTAATGTCACAACAAATAAAGGACCAGAAAACAAAAAGAGAGAGGGATCATGTAAAGCAGACAACTGAATATAAACTAGTGGAAAGAAACTTTGAGATGGAATTTAATAATGGAAGGAGTCAGATGGACAAAAGCTTCCAGGAAATCCTGGACAAGGAAAAGACAACCTATATGTCAAGAATTCGAGAGAAAAAAGGTGATGGGAGAAACTAAGAGAGAAAGAAAGAAAAAGGTATCTGAGGAATATCTTCACAAAAATACTTTAACTGACTTAGCTTTTGTACTGATAACATCTATAAAACCATGGGAAGATCTTGGGATTTAACAGAACATACTGACTAGAAAAAGTGTTTGGCCAAAAAAAGGGCTAAAACCAGAATTAAGAAATCTTCAAAAAAGGGAAAAAATGGTTCCAGGAAATTACAGACTTATCAACCTGACCTCAATATCTGGGAAGATTCTGGAAAAGATAATCAAAAAACGAATCAGTGAACACCTAGAGGCAAACAAAATCACTACTAAAAGCCAACATGGGTTTGTCAAAAACAGACCATGCCAGACAAACCTTACTGCATTTTTTGACCAAGTGACAAAATTAGTGGATCAGAGGAATGCTGTGGATATAATTTACTTGGACTTCAGTAAGGCATTTGATAAAGTAGATTACAACCTACTACTCAATAAGATAGAAAAATGTGGGTTAGACAGCATCACCACCAGATGGATCCATAGCTGGCTGACCGGCCGTACTCAGCGTGTGGTCCTCAATGGAACTGCATCTACATGGAGGGAAGTGTGTAGTGGGGTGCCCCAGGGCTCTGTTCATCTTCATCAACGATTTGGATGAGGGGATAGATGGGGAACTCATCAAATTTGCAGATGACACCAAGCTGGCAGGAATAGCCAACACTCCAGAAGACAGACTTAAGATACAGTAGGACCTGGACAGACTTGAACACTGGGCGCTATCTAACAAAATGAAATTCAATGGTAAAAAAGTAAGGTTCTACATTTAGGCAAGAAAAACCAAATGTACAGGTATAGTATAGGGAGTACCTTGCTCAATAGTAGTAACTGTGAGAAGGATCTCGGAGTCCTAGTGGATAATCACTTAAATATGAGCCAGCAGTGTGCTGCAGCTACCAAAAAGGCCAACACAGTGCTGGGCTGCATTAACAGAGGGATAGAATCAAGATCACGTGAAGTATTAATACCACTTTACAATGCCTTGGTAAGGCCACACTTGGAATACTGCATCCAGTTTTGGTCACCACGATGTAAAAAAGATGTTGAGACTCTAGAAAGAGTACAGAGAAGACCAACAAAGATGATTAGGGGACTGGAGGCTAAAACATATAAGGAACGGTTGCTAGAATTGGGTATGTCTAGTTTAACGAAGAGAAGGACAAGGGGGGACATGATAGCAGTATTCCAATATCTCAGGGGCTGCCATAAAGAAGAGGGAATTAAGCTATTTTCCAAAGCACCTGAAGGCAGGACAAGAAGCAACGGGTGGAAACTAATCAAGGAGAGAAGCAACCTAGAACTAAGGAGAAACTTCCTGACAGTGAGAACAATTAATCAGTGGAACAGCTTGCCTCCAGAAGCAGTAAATGCTCCAACACTGGAAGTTTTTAAGAAGAGACTGGACAGCCATTTGTCCGAAATGGTGTAGGGTTTCCTGCCTGAGCAGGGGGTTGGACTCGATGACCTCCAAGGTCCCTTCCAACTTTATTATTAAATTAGATGATGGGATTCATTTGATGGAATATTTAAAGATTAAACAAACACTTGTTTGAATATGGTTAAAGAAGCTTAGGAGGGATAGGCTCCTTAAGCAATGCAGTATTTTTTTGCCTATGATATGAGAAATATAAAAATGTGTGGGAAGATTTATATCAGGGAAATGTATTAAATATTCAAATATAATGGATTTTGAAGATTTGAATATGTTTTTAAAAATGAAACATTGATTAATAAGGTATTTTAGTTTAAGAGGGATAAGCTTTTTTAGATATTCTTGTCTTTTCTTCTTTCTATTTCAAGATATGAAAAATTTAAGTGTTGGGATGGCTCATTTGAAGAAAAAGATTTCAATATATAAGTGTAATTAACTCTAAGAAAATTTTAACAAGTAAAATGCTTTCTTTTGAATATTTTGGGGAAAGTAAATTTAAATGAGAACTTTAAAAAGGATCTATGACAAGGTGATCTAGATGATTAATTAGAAAAAAGCTTAATAACCAAGTGGAGGATATTCGTAGACATTTAATTGTTATTTTTCAAAAAAATGTTTTAATTTAAGGTTGCTAAAAGAATATTGGAAGAAGTGAAAATCAAGGAAAATTACTATGTGGAATATGGAACTATAGAAATTAAATGTTACTGATTATTTGTAAATACAAACCTAGACAACATACTGTTTACCAAATATCAATGGTGATATGTAAAAAAAACCAATAAAATATATATACGTATATAAAAGTGTTCTACAGTATATATTCTAATTCTAAACATGCCATCTTTAGCAAATGGTTATATTTGTTTATCAACAATAACTATTCACAAAAGGAATCACAGAAGAAATAAAATAATTAGGACTAAGTGAGAGATTAATTTTTAAAAACAACTTGACAGGGCTCAGCCTTTTTAAAGAGAAGGTAATAAAAAATAACTGTTAAAAGCATTTATTTGTAGACAGGTTGTAAGGGACAAACAAAGGGTTTTTAAAAAAATTCTTGTTAAAAAAGAATTGCTATATCATGGTATGCAAACATGAATAAAATTTAGTTTATAACACACATTATAATTAAAACAATTAATCCCCACCTACATTGCTTAAAAAGCCTTAAGTACACATAAGAGAAAAGTAACAATTGACTCTGACACTTTTATTGTTCCTCTGTGTACCCCTATCATCGCTTCTAAATACTAAAAAGGTAACTTTTATCTTGAGATTTTCCTCCATAATACATCCTAAATTATAGTGGCTGGAATCCAAGAACTCATCAAAAACATGATCATGCACAGTATTACTTCTCTATCCGTTCCCCAATTCCCCTAGTTTTGAAATAGCTTGCCAAGTAGAATGAAACTTGTTATTTAGAAAGCACAAGATACAAACCATTATAAATAGGCAGAATTAACCACATAATTCTTTGGAGGGGCAAACGAAAGGGATAAAAGTGATTAGCAGGTATAATATAGATTCTTTGGTTTTAAATAAATCACAACCACATCAAGCCAAGCACGTTCTCAGAATCCAGCCAACAATTTATTCAACAAACTATGGTTAAGCAAACCATGGCTCACCGCAAGACATGAATCAAATTACTGACTACTTCTAAACAATTCAAGTCAGAGCCATGGAGCCATATGCAATTCAGTGCTCAAACTACATTACAAACACTCATTCGACGCGACCAGTAAATATTGCTCCCGAGAATGAGTATGCTGCTCTGCTACCGACTACGTCTTCTTATTCACCCTAGATCAGTGTTTTTCAATCTTGGCCCCTTTTAGACGTGTAGACTTCAGCTCCCAGAATTCCTTAATCAGCAAAGCTGGCTGGGGAATTCTGGATGTTGAAATCTACACATCTTAAAGGGCCCATGGTTGAGAAACACTGCCCTAGATTATCAAAAACAACATAGTAAATTTGCCAATAGATATCTGTACTAAAATGTTCTGATAATGAGATTCAACCTCGACGACGACTATATTCTTCTCTAGAGAAGCCGATAGGTAAGGATGCTCCAGCCACATACCCTCTCTGTGTGTGGTACCTACCGTGCCAATACAGTCCGTCAAATTCGGAGGTGGCGCCTTAGGCTTCGATTTGCCGAACAAACGATTCATCTCAGCCGGAGAAATACAGCCCAAATAGAAAACAAAGAGCGACTTGAAAAGTTTCACAAACCCCTCGGACCCGGAAACTATCCATTGCGCCTGCTCAGTAATCTCGCTCTTCTGAGACAACGACCAATCAGTGGACGATAGAAACTGCGAGTGACATTTGGATTAAAGGCCGGAAGATGTTGAGAAAAAATGGTGATAGGAAAATTAAACTCTTCCGGGTTTCTTTGGAAAACCCCGTTGTGGAGGAGAACTTGTTAGTAGAGCAAGGATGTATTTGCTTCGAACAAGGAAAGGATGGAAATAAAGACTGGAGTAACAGGGACAGAGTAAAGTCTTAGGAATGTTTATTATCTTCTTTTTACCTTTGCAAAATAGTAGGCAAAATACTATGACAGATTGGACTAAAGGAAAGCTACAAGATTTTCTGGATTATTATGGAAACCATTTTAACAAGTTCCCATTGTACGTTAAAAGAGTTTATACATTCTGTTAAGTTTGTTTTATTTAATAATGGCTGGCTAAATTTGTACTGATCTTTAAATATGTTTTAGTGAATTAGGTAAACCAGCTTTAACAGTGACTTGAATAAGGACAAAAGACCAATAACTGGCTTAATTTACTTTTAACAATATAAAAGTTAGGGTTCCTTTTCCGTGAATGTGTTCAGACTCTAGATGCATATATTTCTTGTTTTGCATAGAATGCTGGAAAGACCAACCAAATTTTACTCCAGTATATGTGAGCCCAGTCTGTGAAATTACTAGTTCTTTGTACCATTGAAGTTTAAAAGATTAAATATTCCATAATATTCAGATAATGTAGGTGCATCATGCAAATACAGCCAATAGGAAAGATTTTGGTTGGATTCATATAATAAATTAAGACATGAATTTATAAACTACAATGACTATTCAACATCACTGAATTATACATTTGAATTACATGTGATCCTGGTTTAACAAATAGTTAAGTACTGAAGGAAATAAAAGTTATTTTAATAATTGTAAAAATAATTGTAAAAATGTAATGCCATTATATGAAATTCTCTCTTTAGTACAAATGTAACACTGTAACGCAAATGTAACAATGTAGTGCCAATATATGAAACAGGAATGTTTACTGTTTCCTGCCCATGTAAAGGTAATCAGCATGTAAATGGTAATCAGCAAAGATAATTAATTATGACCAAATATTTACTATTTCCTGCCTAAAAATCCTCCGGACACAGGAACTTACACTTTGAGTAAAAATCACTATCAAAGGGGGATTTTGACCCTAGGTGAAAATTACAAATAAACAAGATAACAACAGATGGATGGAAGAGGTCAGGTTAACAAAATACAACTTCAAAGTACATTATAAAGATGAAAGAGCTTCTTAGATGTGGCATACATTGTAGGAGTATAAAATGCAGATCTTGAAATCAGGCCAGTGCGCTCCTGGAAGCCAATCCATTGGGAAGGATCCAGGAGGCCCGTTTGCAAATGCTTCTATTCTATTCTATTCTCTTTTCTTTTTATTCTTTTTATGTTATTCTCCAATAAATCTTTGTTTTGTTAACCAGACTTATCTTCGTATTGTGAGTATAAAAATTTGGGGTTTTTACATCTCACAATCTTGGTGGAGAATGCGGGCATTAAGAGCTTCTAGAGGACACTGTTCTCAGTAAAATGAGGAGTGCACCTGTTGATTTCAACTGCCTGGAGTTATCTGAGATCTAGTTTCCCTTTGCAGGCTCCGAGCCAAACTAAATTGACAACTCTGGTTTACAAAAATCAAAGAACGGGAAAAAAGGAAGAAAATCAGCAACTGAAGCCCAGACCAGGTAACCCAGTGCACTGGCCCAGGTAAGACACTTTTGCCCCGAAGTAGGGAACCATGCAATTGTACCTGGGTGATCAGGAGAGCGACTGTGGGAGGATTTTTGCGATAACGGCTGTGTGAGTGTGATGGGCTGTGTTCTGGGAACACTGGTAAGTCTAGAGGAGTGCGGACCTGAAAGGTTGAGATCCCTTACTCCCGCAAGGGAGAAGGCCAGCCTGAAGGGAAGCAAACTGGTGTTAAGAGTTTTGAGTGGCCGTCAAATCGAGAACCTCAGGGAACTATAATCAGGGAAACTCTCAAGAAGATGGGTTGTTGTTGTAAGTCGTTGTTGTAAATCTAAAGAAAAAAACGCTGTAAAATTGAGTAGCTTCAAACAGGAAAACCCATCTTGCTAACAGCAGATGCCTTGTGTCTGTGAATGGGTTTCCCAGGCTCTGCCCATGTGGAGCTAAGGTAGGAAAGGAAGTTTTGGGAAATAAGGGGAATGAGAGAAATGTGTGTTTGTCTCTGTGTGTGAGTGAGAAGACCTTTTTCCCAATCAGTTTTCTGTTCTCTTTTCCTTGTCTTGGTATGTATATGTGTGTCAAAGTTTTTGTGTGTGAGGTAAATGTGACTGTTAATTGTTTCTAATCCCAAGAGAAAAGAAGATGCCAAAAGAAACATCCTCACTCTGTTTGTCTGGCCAACAAACAAAGTGAAGAAAGATGTGTTTGTTTGTTTAATTTTTTCCTCTCCCTCTTAAGAGCAGCCCAAAGTTACCTGCTCAGGCAGGATATCCTATACCATTTTCTTGCCTATTCTGCTCTCTCCCTTTTGCAAATGTTAGGTGTGTTAATGCCTTTTCAAACTCTATCTGCAGACACAACCCCCCCTTTCTCTCTGCTTTTTTCTGGCTGTGTTGCTTTGAGAGGGAGAGAGAGAGAAAGGAGAAGGGGGTTTGATCTTTTTAACCTTTTCTCTGCTTAGAATTCAGGTTTGAGAAAGGTGGGGTGGCTGTGAAAATTTAATGCCCGTTTTTGCAATTTTTTCTATTCAAAAGAGAGGTCAGTAATTGTTGGACAACTTTTTTGGGAAATTTTTGAGTTTAAATTGTTTAATATCAACCAAAAGAAATGATTCTAAATTGTTTTGCTTAGATTTATAAATGTTTTCCCTATTTAATGGAAATTTGTTTCCATTTGAATGGAATTTGATTAAATTGGAATTTGACTAACTTTATATTAAAAGCAATACTAGAGTTTGATAAAAAAAACTATTTCAGTAACTCAGAATATCTTATTAAACTTGTTTATTTTTGGTGAAGTTAAAACAAAGAAGTTGAGAAAAAAATTGGGATTATAAATAGCTATGCTGTTTTGATTAAAGATTTGTATGCAAAACTGTTAGAAAAAAAGCTTGTGTTAACAAATGCAAACAGGGTTTGGTGAGCTCTCCTTTGTTGGCTCTTTGCTTAGGTAATTTATTTATAAACAAGGACAAAGGTTGGAGGAGGTTTTGACCCAGAAGTGTGTGTGTGGGGGGGAAAGGCAACCAGTGGCATTTGTATCTAAAATTGACATCTTGGGGGACATCTTGGTGATTAGCATTTCTTATCAAGTGTGGACAATTTTAATCAGGAAGCCTAAAGGAGGTATACACTTGTTCATAACAAAGTAGTTGGAAAAAGAAAAGAGCAAGAAAAAGAGAGACATAATGAAGATACGATAGTAGATGGGGAAGGAGGGTTTACCAAGAATTGAATTAAAAGATAAAATAATTAGAAAATATGTACTCGAACTGTCCAGATATTTTTCTCTCCTGCAATAGAAAGGCATTCTTGCCCAAACTCCACCCTTGGGCTTTGCAGTATACCAATACAAAGCAGGACAGTGGGTATACTAACTCCAACCTGGGAAGGACTTTACATCGTCTTGTTAACCACTGAGACAGCTATCCGGACAGCTAAAAAAAGTTGGACCATTATTCCTGAGTAAAAGGGCCCGTGCCAGCCCCAGAGGAGTAGAAGATGGAATCTCACCAAGGAGATCCACTGAAGCTAAAGTTCCGAAGGACTTCATGGACTAATAGTCAATCTTCCTGACAGAAAGGGGGGTAATAGAGGAAAAAGGACTAAACTTTATATTTCTTTTTCTATCTAGAACCAAAGGAAAACCAAGACCGCCGCATGTGCTGATTTTGTGAGTTTCTTTGTGGGTGTTGTTGCTGCTCTCACTTTATTAATTGTGTTCAGTGCACAGGGTGTGAGATAGTGATATTCAGTCTTAGAAGATGTATTGGAACATTCCAAGGTGGTATGTCTGGGGGGGGGTTCTTATTATACTCTTAAAACCTGTCCAACCATTAGAGTCATGTAAGCAAAGTGTAAAAATGACAAAGGGAGAAGGAGAAAATATACACTGACTCCAAGTATGTTTATGGAGTCTTGAATACTGATGGAAGAAGAAAAGAAAGAAGTTATGCTAGAGTGGCAGAAGGGAAGGAAGGAATGGATAATAGAAGAAAGAAACAAGAAAGTTGTTTTAAGTTGGTTTGCACAGACTTGTGAATTGCATGCATTAAGCAGGGAGACTGCCATTAACGTGGTCAGCTCAAACATGTGAATTGTATGCCTTAACACAAGCCTTAGAATGTTGAAGGAATAAGAATGTACTAAAGATGGGAGGTGGATATTACAAGATGGGAGAGGGATGTTGAAAAGAAAAAAGAAAAAACAACAACAAAACAATGGCTGGAACACAGAAGCAGCCACTGAAGGGGGGTTGCAAGGGATGATTAATATTTTCTAAAACAGGATGGTTGTATTTATATTTTAGTTAAACAAATATGTGATAAAATTCAAGTTAAAAAAAAAAAGCTTTACAATATTTAGTGGTGAGACCATGTCAATATAGGCCTCAACTGGAAAGTTGTTTTTGTTTCTTTGAAATGGGAGGCTTTTGTTACATGAAGGTTCAAGAATGTCAATGAAGAAGAGAAGAAAGTTACTCAGTAACTGCAGGTTACTGTGGTGCAGGTTTTGTCTTCCATCTCAATACGGGCCCAGGCTGCCTTACCACCTGTCTCTGGCCATTGTTCCTGGAGAGTGGATTCAGGTGAAAAGAACTATCACCTAGAAATACCAGTCCTGAATGGTCTCAACCATGCCAAGTCCTCCTGATTTAAGGAATCAAGGCATGAGTCCATGGAAAGTCCCATCATATCCTCTCCAGTGAAAAACTCCGCAGCTGGACGGCCTGAAAATGAAATTTCAACCTGCCTCACCTGTTGAATTGTTTCCATCTAAGTGGGAGAAAAACTTAAATGGATTGGACGTGTTCCTAGAACCTGGACTATGTGTTGAAAAGTTTTTCTTCTGCTACTATTGTTTTCTTAGTACTTTCTTTGGTAGAAGGAAAGACCATGGGCCCAATACTTTAAGGAACATTGGGGAAAGAAGACTCAGAATATGAAAACTTGCTTGCACAGGAATCTAAAGAAAATATAGGAAGTTATGAACTGTTAAAAGTATAAAAGAATAAATTCAGGTGGAAGAGAAGAAGGGAGGATTGAAGGAAATAAAAGTTATTCTTTTAATAATTGTAGAAATGATTGTAGAAATGTAATGCCATTATGTGAAATTGTCTCTTTAGTACAACTAAACACTGTAATGCGAATGTAACAATGTAATGCCAATATATGAAACAGGAATGTTTACTGTTTCCTGCCCATGTAAAAGTGACTACAAATGATGATCAGCAAAGATAATTAATTGTGACCAAATGTTTACTATTTCCTGCCTAAAAATCCTCCGGACACAGGAACTTACACTTTGAGTAAAAATCACTATCAAAGGGGGATTTTGACCCTAGGTGAAAATTACAAATAAACAAGATAACAGCAGATGGATGGAAGAGGTCAGGTTAACAAAATACAACTTCAAAGTACATTATAAAGATGAAAGAGCTTCTTAGATGTGGCATACATTGTAGGGGTATAAAATGCAGATCTTGAAACCAGGCCAATGTGCTCCTGGAAGCCAATCCATTGGGAAGGATCCAGGAGGCCCGTTTGCAAACGCTTCAATTCTATTCTATTCTCTTTTCTTTTTATTCTTTTTATATTATTCTCTAATAAATCTTTGTTTTGTTAACCAGACTTATCTTCGTATTGTGAGTATAAAAATTTGGGGTTTTTACATCTCACAGTACTGATAAAACTTTTTAAATAGAATTTTATTTCATGCACATAGAAATCACAATTATAGGTTCAATGCAAACACTTTAGATCAGGGGTTCCCAACTGGGGGTGCAAGACGATATTCCATGGGGTGCAAAAACTGGGGTTTAGAAGTTTCAAAATTATAGTGTATATGCATAATTCATTGCCATTATTTCGAACTTTTGTTATATCAGAAATGTTCTAGGGGTGCAGGGATAGGAAAGATTGGAAACCGCTGCTTTAGATAGACAAAATAGATCATAAAGAAGATATGTGTCCTTTTATTATGTTGAGCCAGCATGATTGGAGATAATATCCCATTTATTCCACAATAATATATATATTTTCAGGGTAAGGTCAACTACAAATTTTGAGTTGTAAGTGTGCACTTAATGCTATTTTTTTTGCCACCATAGACAATTCTTTTATCAATGCTATTTTACTGAATGTGATCTCAGAGTCAGACTTCACTTATTGCACTGAATCATGTTTTACTTAACCAAGGTTTTCTGAATAAACCACTGGCTGGGTTCATACAACACACTAGCTCAGTGTTTCCCAAACTTGACAATTTTAAGGCATGTGGACTTCAACTCCCAGAATTCCACAGCCAGCGTTGGGAGTTGAAGTCCTCATGCCTTAAAATTGTCAAGTTTGGGAAACACTGCACTAGCTGAAATTCATGATTTAAAAAACACAATGACTCGATTGTAGAGATATGAAATATTTGTGTCCAAAACGGGAAAGGCTCTTTGAATCTAGCACAGATATCCTCAACTCTTACCCATTTTGAATATTATACATTCCTGCAGGTTCATAAAGAGAC